CATCATTTGAAAGGTATTTCCAAGCTCTATAACTTTCAATAACAACTTTTTCCCCTAAAACTTAACCGGAAGCAACGAGCATCGAAAAACCATGTTTTCCATACTTTGGCGATTGTTTACACTCTTTTTCGCACCCGGAAATCGAGAGCAAACTGTGGGGCTCTTATAAGGAGCCCCCAAACTACCAGAAACCGTTTAGACTTTGCTGTTTGTATTTTTGTGCACTTTTTGTCTTCATTGACTGGCCTACGTTGCGACTGACGCGCTCACGTACGTATGTCCAAGAAGTTGGCAACGCCATTTAATTTTTTCTCAACAAAATTTGGATAAAACTAAAAAACGAAAATTGTATGAAAACACTTAGAAAACGATAACAAATATTGTGCTGCAAAAAATTAAAATATTTTTTAAAAATTAAAGAAAAATTTCTTATTATACTTCAATAATTTTTTTGGACATTTTTCAAAAATCAAAATTTAAAAAAAATAAAATTTGTGCTGAATTGTTCTCAGCGAGCACAATAAAAAAGTATATAACAGTTTTTGAAAAAGTTAATAATTATTCAAGAAAATCGTATTTTTTGAGTCTAAAATTTTTAAAATATTTTTCAAAAATCAAAATTTTGAAAAAATAAAATTTGTGCTGAATTGTGCTCGGCGAGCACAATAAAAAAGTCTAAAAGACAATTTTACAACAGTTTTACAACAGCTCTATCTCATACATTGCAATGAATAGCATTGTTTCAATTAAATTACTATTTTAGCTATATGTGATTTTAATATTATGTACCTGCATACTTCTAAAAAAATAGTGGCCCACAATTCCCCGAATGCTTCATTTTACAAAAAGCTTTTTATTATTTATTTATTTAAATTTCATGCAAATTTTTTTTTGGGTCGAAGTAAAAAAAAAGAAACAATATATTAAATTTTTTTTAACCAGGCAATTCTTCAAAATTCTTGTAAAAACTTGAACGCCCAAAATAAATATTTTATTGCAATTTTCAGTTGGTTGTTGTTTATTTATTGTGAAATACTGTAAAGTCATGAAATGCTAATGAAAAATTTACTTTTGACGAACAAAAGAAAATAAAAAAATTGGATGATCAAAAATTTTTAAAAATTGTTAAATAATGGAGGTGACCCACAATTCCCCAATTTCCTCTATGATTATTCTCAAATAATTCTTTAACTTTTTGAAACATTGTTTTAAGACTGTATTATTGTGCTCACGAGCACAATTTAGGACAAATTTTATTTTTCCAAACTTTTGATTTTTCAAAAAGGTTAGAGAAGTGTGATTTTTAAAAATAATTATTAACTTTTTCAAAAACTGTTATATACTTTTTTTATTGTGCTCGCTGAGAACAATTCAGCACAAATTTTATTTTTTTTAAATTTTGATTTTTAAAAAATGTCCAAAAAAATTATTGAAGTATAATAAGAAATTTTTTTTTAATTTTTAAAAAACATTTTAATTTTTTTCCAGCACAATATTTGTTATCGTTTTCTAAGTGTTTTTATGCAATTTTCGTTTTTTAGATTTATCCAAATTTTGTTGAGAAAAAATGAAATGGCGTTGCCAACTTCTTGGACATATGTACGTGAGCGCGTCAGTCTCAACGGGGCGCCATAGACTTTTTTGTTGATTTCTCGAAAAGTTATCACGATCGCATTATAAAACTTTTACGAAAATTTTCTTATTACTTTTGGCTATCACTATAAAAAAAATAAATAAAAATCGGAGGGGGGGTGTTTTTCAAAAAATTAAAAAAAAAAAAATTTTTGAAAAATTTTTAATAATTTCTAAAAAATTTTTTTTCTAAAAAATTTATCTAAAAAATACTAGTTATACTGAGAAATTGAAAAAAAAATTTTTGAAAAAATATTGAAAACAACCGGAGTTATCTTAATTTTAAAAAATTCGTACATAAATTTTCAAATTTGAATATTTTCAAAATTTTTTCGAAATTTTCAAAATCGTCTTCACTTTATTATATCTTATCCTTATAGCTACAAAGAAAAAAATTTTCAAGAAAATTGCTAACAATGTCCAAAAATCGTCGATCACTTCACATGGAATTGCTCTTATGTAATTAATTTATAAAACATTTTTGACAAATTTATCATAGTTTTATGGTAAAAATAATGTAAATCAATTTAAAAAAATTTGTTTATATCCGTGCAGAAATTTTGGTAAGGCGCCGATCAGGCCCTGATATTACAATCCCAAGTGCGAAATGCCACGACTGCAAAAATGGTCCATCATTGGTCCAGTAATGTCTGCCGAGAATTGGCAATGTTACTGGGCCATTTCTGGTGTTCAAAACGTCCCACTGCTGGACCAATGATGGCGCCGATTGTCAGATATTCTAATTTTCCAACACTGGGCCGACTCTTGGCCCAATAATGGCACGTTAACGTCAAAGTTGATCAATCTTTAAAGGCAAAATACAATTGCCAGTGATGTGACGAAGATCGGCCCAGTAATGACTGATTAATGTCACTTTAATGGCAAAAATTTTGTATCTTTCATGGCACATTATACACATTAAAAAAAGTCTTACTTTTAGCCTATTTTTGAGGCTGAATTTAAGATGTAAACAGAGTCAGCCCCGTTAAACAAGGACAGACTTATGTGAAATACATGGGCTGAATTCAAGGTGTAAACGGAGTCAGACTTTTTTTCCCTGTGTAATTACCAGTAATGGGACGTAACTCGTCCCAATAAAGGCATATTAATGGCTAAAATTTCTTATCTACGATGTCAAATTAGGATAGTCAATATTAGGACTTAGCTCGGTCCAGTAATGATACATTATTGGTACTTAAATGGCAAAAATTTTGTACAAGTCTAATTTTGTAAATAATAAATTATTTAAACAAATTAAAATTATAAACAAAATTTAAACTTTAATCTTAATAATTAATCTCCTATTAAAATACTATTATACTTCTTCTATGAATAAAAAATTATTAAAAAATTACCACATAATTTAAGAATTACGTAAAATGTTAAATGCAATAAGTAAAGTAATTTAATTTAATTATTAAAAATTTAGTTTAATTTATTTTATTTCAATCTATTATTTCTAACGTATCCCTATTTTTTTTTCATCTTTGACTCAATAATTGTATGTCTGAATGATACTGAGATATTAATACTTTACTGTACACATGTGTCGTTAGCATAGTGGTTAGAGCGTTAGTCTGTTAGTCCGTAGGTCGTAGGTTCGATTTCCCTCGTCAGCAATTTTGTTTATTTTCATAGGTTTGCGATATTTCTAGATTCCAATCGTTAGGTACTAAAATATGAAAATCTAATGCACACTTACTGTAATTGTTTATTATTTAATTCTTAAATGTTATAAACAATTTTTTACTACTTCATTTACTATATCCATTGTTAGTCTCCATCTTTAATACAATTTCTTTAAGAAGAGAAATATTTTATGAATAATAACTATTTATTAATATTATTTACCATTTTGTTGTTAAATTATTTATAATTATGAATTTACGATTAATTAATAACAATACGGCATTTATTGCGGCAATATTCTCAGCCAGCACTGGCAGGCAGTACTTCGCCAGCGTTAGACAGCGTTATCATCCCAGAGTTATGCCAGTGCTGTCTGGTAGCGTAGCTGCCAGTACTGCCAGTGCTGGCGCAGTACTCCGCCAGTTGTAAATTTCCCATTGGGCATATGTAATATTCCCGATAATAATAATGTGTTAATTGTTTACATAAATTAAATTTTTAATAATTTTTATTGGTTGGTATTACTATTTATTTAAAGATGGGCCGACTTTGGGATAAGTTGTCAGACCAACCATGGTCGCTAATGCTCGGCAAACCGTTATCATTTCGCTAGTTGGCCCAACCATCGGCTGACCAAAAATTCTATTTAGTATCTATAAAATATTCTATTTAAATATAATTATAAGGTGTAATAAAATATAACAAAATTATTGAATTTTTTCTAAGTATGTAATATATAATTAAATAAAACGACTTCTAAAAATTATAAAATTAAAATATTTTGTAATTGCTCTGTAATAAAATTGAAAACTAAAATGAAAAATCCAGTAATTAATAAAAAAACATTTAAAAATAAAGGAAATTTAAATTTTGTAAAGAAAAGAAAATAAATATTATAATTATTGACAGTATTAGGTAAATTAATATAAATTTATTTTGAAATTTCATTTTTGAATATGTAAATGTTTTTAAAATATTAAAAACAACAAATATTTTATTTATATAGTTTCAAACGGGTGGTAAATTTTCGAACTACCCAATTCAATTTTTCAATAACATAACAAAGAATAAAAATTATATATCTTCACATTAATAAATAATAAATTAATAATGCAAATTAAAGTCACATAGTAACAAAATAAAATAATTGTAGTGAAATAGAAAGAAATAAAAACATGACAAATGCAATAATCTACAAAAAAATATAAAACTTTAAACATTTAAAACTCAAGTTCAATAACTAAAATTTAAAATAAAACTCTAAAAATTTCTCAGAATTTTATATGAAGAAACCAAACGCGCAATTTACAATAAAAATAAAGAATTATTTTTTTACGAAAAATGCAGACGCGACCGGATGACATCGATTAGTATATAGTTATATTACAATATTTTCACGGTCTATCAAGCCCCAGACAAATAGAATAAAAACTTTGAAAATTCTTCAACAATTTTTCAAGTCCACTAAAAATAAATAAAAATCAATTGAAGTAATTTAAATCACTGACAAACTTAACAACGCCGCCAAAAATGTTTCGATGGAGAAAAAAGTTTTCTGTGTGCTGTTTTATAAAAGGAGACCGTCTATGTTTTTTTTTAATTTTAATAATTATTCAAGTAAGTAAAAAGTAGTGAGGAGAAAATTAACAAATGATTAAAAATTTCTTGAAAAATAATTTTAAATTAATTTTTTATCGTGCAGTGAAAAAACAATGGAAAAATTTATAATTATTGCTTACTTGTTCTTGTTCGACAGTTAACGCGGCCGCCATTTTGGCTCGACGACGTACTAGACAAAAACTACGCTCCCTACTGTTGAGACGTACCAACTAAGTTTATTCATTGTGGCTTTCATTTGTTTTTATACTATAAAAAAATTAAATAGTATAGCAACAATAGTACATTTTTTTACAAGACGATTAAGTTAACAATGGTAAATTTATTATATTACTTATTTGTTTTAAATTTTTCATAGGGAAAGTGATATATTAAGGCCAGGTATTATTCAGAGGACAGGGAAAAATTAAATTTGCATAGTATTCAATGAAAAATTAATATAAAACTTATATATTTTATTACAATTATTATAAAATATTGACATGTATTTTTAAGGCTTATAAATTTAAAGAACGATTCATGTATAACGAATAATTTTAAATTACCATTTATATTTATTGATTAAGGAAAAACTAAAGTTTTTAACTTTTTAAATAAATAATAATGATTTTAGTCATTTTTAAAAAATAATTTTTATATATCATATTTTTATCTATTATAAGTAGGTATTCTATATATATTTTATTTTTCTCCAGCGATTTTAAAGAAAACGGGTTGTGTTGGTAAAGCAAGATTTGGTGTAATGTATGAAGGACATTGTGTCGCCATCTTTGAGAATACAGTGGAATTATTGGAAAATTCTAAGATAATTTTATTCTAACCTTAAATATAATAAAGATATTGTAATAGTTTGGTGACATGTCAAAGCCTAATAAAGAAATTAAGTTAAATACAATTGGTAAAAAATGTCAACAAGTAAATTTTTGGGAATGGACATTAAAAAATTGTTCGAAGCTCATACTATAAAGGAAATTGAATTAATACAAAAGCAAATACAACAAGAAAGTGAAAGGAAGAAAATTGAATTAAGGACATTGGTTGGGTAAAGTTTATAAAACAATTTGTTGTTTTATTTTTTTGTTTCAGTGGTTTTTATGGGAAATGAACATTTAAGTTTTTGTGTAGGTACTCGAGTTGAGTTTAGTTGTTTTGTGGTCCAGAAATACAAAATACAATTTTTTAAAAATTACATTATTTGTGCTACATTTTTATCCTGGTTTTAATTTTAAAAAAATTTTATATTTGTTTTTAATTTTGACAAAATATGTTTCTTCTTTCTTAATTCTCCCTTCAAAATTGAAATTAATTATAGACAAATCGATTGGTCTATATAAAGTATATGAGGCATTCTATTTCAAAACGATTCCCCTTGTAAACAATTGCTAATTTAAGGCAATGTTTAAATAAATATTTCTCCTATTTAAATAAACCAATTGAATTTTGTTACTAGCAGTTTTGAGAGATTAATTCTTGAAATTTATTATAGTAAAATGCTTTTTTTTAAATAATGATAAGAAAAAATTAATAATAATAAATAATAAATGACAAAATTATAAAATGCAGTTTCCATTAATGATTTAAATTTTTTTATATATTAAAAATTTATTAATTAACAATTTTAGGTTAATAAAAAAAACAAATAATGCTCTATTTAATAAGTGGTTCTCAATTTATACATATTTTAACCTCTGAAACAATTGTGGATTTTAATTAATTTCTCAAAATCCACTGAAATGTCCAAGATAACTTTTACAGGAATAAAAATAGAATATTTATGCTTTATTTTGACATCAATTTTATCAAAATCGGATATAACGTGTTTTGAAAAATTTAGAAGTTTAACCTTCAAATCAAATTGTTTTTAAGATTACGTTTTTTTTAAAAAAAAAGCTTTTTACTATCATTTGGTTCAAGAATTTATCTTTCAATACTGCTAGTAACAAAATTTAATTGGTTTATTTAAATAGAAGAAATATTTCTTAAAAATTGTCTTAAATTGTCAATAATTGTTTAGAAGGAGGGTCGTTTTGAAATAGAATGCCTCAAATATTGTATTGGAAATAAAAAGAATCACAATTAAAGCATAAAAATTCACTTTTTTACTAACAATTTTTTTCTTTATTTACAATTATGTTTACTATTAACTATAATAATCGTCGTATTCATTCATTCATTCATTCTGTCCAGTCTGTCCACACCTGAAGTTAGTCATGGTTATTCTTTTGTTTTTTATTCGTTTTGATAGAAAATAGAAATAAAATATAAAATAACGATTTTTTAACAAAATTCATGTTTTTGTTTTTTATATGTTTTGATAGATAATATTACATTTCTTTATTTTGTTTTTATTTTTTTAATTTAATAATATTTTTATTTCTCAAATAATTCAAAAATATTTTATTAATCTAAAAAAAATTATTAATATTATTATATTATTCATTATTTCTAAAGAATATTCTGATTCACTCTAAAAATGATTAGATACTCCAAAAAATGTTCCATTACATTTTTTTACAAATTTCTTTAATTCTAAAATTATTTAAAAATATCAATAACTTCTTTTTTAAATAAATTTTAATCATTATTATTTTTCCACAGGAATAAATTATTTTCAATAATTTTTGAAAAAAGTTCTTTGAGAATTTTAAAATCTATTTGTTTACGAAATTTAAATTATTCAGAAATTCTTCAACTAAATACGAATTAAAAAATAAATACTTCAAATAATTTTAGAAAAAAATTCAATTAAACTTTTTTAAAATAATTAATTCTACAGAATTGTTAGTTATAAGTATGAAAAATACAAATTTTTAAAGAATTTAATTTGGAACCATTTTAAAATTTAATTATTTCTTAAAATTCATGCTATAATGCTTTTAATATTCAATTATTATGTAGAACTTTAACTGAAATTCATTTTTAAATAAATTTTTATTAGATCATTCAATAATTTAAATGCAAAAATAAATAATTTATTGAATAATTAAAATTTCTTAAAATTTAAGTCTGATAAAGAATTTTATCAAAACATTTATAAATTTATTTTTTGAAGGCACAAATATGAAATTTTATGCAAAGTTAGCAAAGCAGTGATATATTTTGTAAATTTCAATTTTTAACGAATTCATTTTTCTTACTAAATGAAAAAATATGCATAATTTCTATTTTATAATCATAATTTTTGCACAAAATTTTTTTTTTAATTTTTTAATTATTTTTTGTGATTAAGTAGTTAAGTGATTAAGTACCAGTTTTTATTGTTAATAGGCATTATATTATTAATTACCTATTAATACCAGGAGAAACTAGACGCGCGCTTTAGCGCGCGTTTTTTTAACTGTCACCTGTAATAATTTCAAAAGATAACATTTTTGTAATTTTTCATAAATTTTTCGAAGAATTTTTTATTGAAATTTTGTAAAGATAATCGAATTTCTTTTGAGTAATGATAATAATAATAATAAATTAAATACTTTGTTTGGCGGGCGTGACATTTACTACTTATTTATATTATTTATAAAAAAATTTTAAATACAAATTTCATAAAATTCAATTATTTTTTTAATTTTTAAATAAAAAATTATTCCAAAATAATTATTAAAAAATAATTTTTTCTCGATAGTTTTTCAAAAATTAAATTATTTAAGAAAATCAATTTTAAATCTGTAAAGTCTAATTATTGTTAAAAACAGGAAGAGTTTGAAATATATATAAAATCTTTTCAATGCTGAAGAATAACATTCAGAATTTTCTTATGAATTCTTGAAATTGAATATTATTCCAGCACTTTTGACAAAATTTTTTGACTTTTTCCTGATTTCCCTGAATAAATTTAGAAAAATAGTGATTTTGTGTAGAATTCTTCTGAATAATTGAATTTTTGAATGTTAATGACATGAAAATAATATTAATTAATTTTGACTAGAAAACTATTAGAAACAAAATAACAAATAAATAATTAATTGTAATTAAATGTAATTTATTTTTGATAATTAATAAGTCAAAAATAATGTAATGACCATATTTTTCATTATCGTCTCATTGGCATTCACGCTTTCATTAATTTTCATGTGACATGTAAAAATTACATTATTGTTATATATATGTTAAAAGTGGAACAAGAAACTTCACGCGCGCGTTATTTGTGCTAGTTATTAACTATAATAATCGTCGTATTCATTCATTCATTCTGTCCAGTCTGTCCACACCTGAAGTAGTCATGATTATGCTTTTGTTTTTTTATATGTTTTGATAGATAATATTATTATACTTCTTTATTTCTTCACTATTTTTTTAATTTAATGATATTATTTTATTTTATTTAGAAATATTTTTATTTTTAAAATAATTCAATAATATTTTCATTATTCGAAAAAAATTATTAATGTTATTTTTCATTATTTCCTTTGTTTCCAAAAAAATTAGCACTTTGTAACAAACATTTTAGACGTACTTAACAAATAATTGTTATTTTTCATGTAAAATATTTTCCTTTTATTTTACAAATATGAAAAACTTAATTGGTTGACAAATCGAAATTATAAGTACAGCCATTTTTTCAAAAAAATTAAAAATTTTTTGTGAAATTAGAAAGTAGAAAATATTTTGCACATTTTTCGCTTCTCAATTACAATTTATAAACAAAGTACGTAAGTAGAAAAAAAGTTATAAATCAAATTTTGTTTAAGAAATTTTTAATTTATTTCGCAAAAAATATTTACAAAATTTTCTATTTGTTAAAAACTATATTTATCGAAATAATAATAAAAATAAATAAATAAAACAATTTCTATTTTATTAAATAAAAAAATAAATGAAAAAATTTAATTTTAAATCTGTAAAGTTCAATTATTGTTATAAGTAGGGTGAGTTTGAAATAAATAAAATCTTTTCAATGCTAAAGAATATAAGAATGTAAGACTTTAAAGACCAATCCAAAAAATCCACATTAAAATATCCAAGAAAAAGAATCCAAACTACAAAAAATCCGAAAGAGAAAATTTTTTTTAAAAATAATCTTGTTTGTTTATAATATTATAATTGAAAATTTGATTTTTTAATTTTATTTAAATTTAATTATATTGAAAATAATTGAATAATTAATTATTTCCTTAATAAGCAATAAAAATTAAATTTGCTCAAGTACGAAGCTTCGCTTCGCCTACATTTTGTTCAAAAAAAAGTGCTCGTTCAAAAATTGGCAACTGCTCGCACTAGTTACGAACGATATTTTTCATAACAAGGTGCAAAAAAGTTAATTTAAAATTCTATATCAATCAGGACGTTGTTCAGCAATACCCAAGCAACAACTCAGGTCATTGGCAGCCAATAGAAAAATATTTGAAGGAGAGAAAATGAATTTTAACGTCATTTTTCACTAATTTTGATTTTCTGATAGCGTACGGGTGGACCTACTACTACTTAAAAGTTCATTTAAAATTCTATATCAATCAGGATGTTGTTCAGCAACACCCAAGCAACAACTCAGGTCATTGGCCAATAGATAAATATTGGAATGAGAGAAAATCAATTTTAAAGTCATTTTTCACTCATTTTGATTGTCTGATAGCGTACGGGTGGACCTGCTACTACTTAAAAGTTAATTTAAAAATCTATATCAATCAGAATGTTGTTCAGCAACACCCAAGCAACAATTCAGAGCATTGGCAGCCAATTAACTATATTAATTTGAATGTTCTTCTATTCTTTCATTCATTCACTTTTTCTGTCCCTCACACTCTGAAGTTTTTTTTTATTTATACTTTTGTTTTTGTTATCTTTAGATAGATTGTATATTATATTAAGGGGTAACACTACTCTAGAGTCAGAAAAAGAGACCTATATCTTTGATGATTTGTTTTGAGAAAATGGAAAATAGAATAGGATTTCTTTTTGGAGGGTTTATTAAATAAATATTGAAGAGTAGAAAAAATTTTTTTTAAAAAAATTTTATAACAAAATGGCGGCGATAATTAGTAAAAATAGTAAAAATAGTAAATAGTAAAAATCGACTATTTTTTCTTTACCAAAACGGCCGGAAAG